TGGCCGCTGCCTCGGGCTCCTCCATCTCGCCTCGCGTTGGGTAAATAGTATGAACCGACAGGAAAGCTCTGCATCACACTTGTTTCCAAAAACCACTCAGACCCCTGTATTTTGCTACTGTGCAGGTGACTATTTATAAATACTGCTGGCTGACCAGTTACTTCTCCTTCTGACATTCAATATACCGCGTAGTGATACAGAAGGAGGCTCTACCCGTCCCAGCACTCAAGTTCTTGTCTCCTGCAGCTCACTGTCCACCTACATCTCTCATTTTCCTCATCCTCGCTGCAGTAACCTCCCGCTCTAAGTGCTAGTTCAAGGGTAGCTCTTCAGAATGGATCCTGTGACATGGCAATAGTTTTCTGCCCCCAGCCTCTCCTGCTGGAAAAGAGAACTATTCCCCAGCATTTCATTGCTCCAAGATTTATTTTTCTCCTTCCTTGATCATTGTTTAATATAATCTTTCCAGCGATGCTCTCTGTAGGACAAAGATTTTAATCATGCAGAATAATCAGCCTCAAGATATGCAAAACGTCCATCTTAATTCCTTCCCTTTTCCTATCTTAGAACGAAACTAAACTAAAGATTTCCAGGACACCAAGATTAATGACTGTTTTATGAAAAAAGCAGCAAGGCTTAGTTTCCCATCCAAACCGATGACTTTGTCGACTAACCAAAAACTGCCTCTTGCCAGCTTGAAAATGCAGCCCAGAAATAAATGTCTCTTCTAGTAACAGGACTGCCTGGCCAAGAACAGTCTGTCAGAAAACCGCACCCCTCGACTAAAGGATGCGCTGCACCGGGGGGGCACTACGCAGGGGCATTTGGCCCATAGTTAGCTAGGAAGCTGCTTGTAAAACGGCACAGGAAGGAATGGCGAGGTTTTCCTCGAGTTCATGGGAAGAAGCACATCGTATGATGCCACAGTGTCAGTAAAGTGGATAGACTGATCCAGAATAATCCCTCTAGCACCATGTTCCTAAAATTGCATGAGGGGAAGAAAGCCCTGAACATCAGTGACTCAAGCTAGGGAATGCAGAGTACAGAACACAGAATTAAACTGTGCTTGACAATTTGTACTTTTATTATTACAGACTAGATTTCTGCTTTGGTTTGATTCTGCCCATGAGCCCAAAGCATCCCTTTTACTGCTCTGCCTGTCTCAAATATTTGGTAGAGTCATTATTGCAGAGCCAAATCACCATTACTTCTTCCAAATGATAGGGAGTAGAACAAAACATTTCTTCAGTGAGGACAAGTCTATCGCCCAGGTGGACTCCTCTCTGAGTTACCCCACCCTTGCCAGCTATATAGCAGTATTTTATTGTGCACTAAAACGTTAAAGAAAGGGGTTAACACGAGCCCGGGTGGCTGCGTGGCAGCCGCGGCACTACTGAGGCTGGCTGGAGCTGATGGCATTTTGAAAACTCTTTCCTTGGGGAGCAGGAGAGAGCAGGCTGGAAGATGGTGATTCTTCAGTAGAAATGAAAAAAGCCTGGCTTTCAGCAGGCAAATACTGAAGGTAATGGGATTCTGTGTGAGTTATGAATTTTAAACACTTCTATAAGTTCTGTCGTTTCCAGCTGGATATG